TCATCGCAGGGACCCCAATGTTGACAGTCGTAACAGTTATTACTACAATCATGAATATTGTGAACTGAACACGCTTTATAGTAGTAGTACTTTAAACTATAAGTCAAGCAATCACGACAATAATCGTTCACATGTAAAACGATTTATGCATGAAAAATGATACGACGGGGGGAACACGACGTACGAAGAATAGTTACAGTCGCCATCAAGTAATACACATGACCCACCCTCTATATATGGATTTAATTCCTTAGGGCCAAACTAAAGCTTTTACACTTTAGAATTCGTCATTAAAATAAATTTGTACAATGACGTCTAAAATTACCCTCTCATTTGTGATATTATCCGTCATTTGATTAAAATTTCTGATACGTACATGCAAAAAATACGTATCAGTATGTTGTGCCCCAAATGTTTAATCAGCCCAATTGTCGATCTGTGCAGCCCAAATTTGGGCCTATCGCTATCTAATTTTTACGAGTTCGGAATACATGATCAGTACCCCAAAAAGTAACGCTCGATTTAAAATTATACAGTAAAATACATACAAATTAAAACAGTTTCATTTTGATAAAATTCCCCTAAGTTTTTTTCATTTAGAAATAATTACCAATAGAAATATAGAATACTTGAAATTTTCATATATAAAGCGTGAGAAAATTTTTTTTACTTTCCAATCAATACAGGCCTTGCATCTTAAGTTGCCACAAGTCTTGTATTATTTTTTCAAAAATACAATCAATTAGCTTTAAATGATATAAACTTTCGGTATATACATGTATACACAGTTCGAAAATTTCCATTTTTTGTTTTACTATTTTTTTGGGGTACTGTTCATGTGTGTAGATACCGATGCTGTCTATTACGTAATAATCTCCCAATAACACATAATACATGTACGTACATTATCGATAAACATATTTTTAGATGCGATATCTTGATACCCAGTGATCAGATTCGCGCGAAAATACCACCATTCAATTCACCACGAGTAGACAAATCAAATTGTGCGAATCTGATAACTGGGTATCGAGATATCGCATGTCTATCGATAATGTATTTAGTATTGGATATTTATTTATTACATGTACAATACTGTAATACACTCTTTTTTACACATGTATTCCGAAGTATTCCGAACTCATGAAAATTGGAGTTTGGTGATAGGCCCAAATCCAATTTGCTGTCCAGATTAACAACAGATTGATGAATTATATATATATGTTAAATTATAAAACTATATTATTTACAAGTCACCGATTATATTATTGAATAATTATTTACAAATCACCGATTATATTATTGAATAATTAATAATATAATTAAAAATTATGTTACCTAGTTTCTAATACAAAATTTTTGATAAATATATTTTATAAATAACACCAAAATTTTTTTACCGTTATTCAATTTTAAATTCAAAAATTCAAAATATGTTTAAAACTACATGGTTTTTTATTTTAAAACTTTGAAGTTTAATATCAAAAAATTATATAATATTTTACAAAATTTTTTAAATTATATTAATATAAGGTAAAACGGGATACTTGTATAGACAGATTTGTGCATTAAATTAGTATTATTTAAAAATCAATTACGAATTTTTGTATTTATAAAAATTATATTGAATTATCAAACTAAGAAATTTAAATCTCAACGTTTCTTCAGTAAAAATTTCAATTAATTTGGTTAAGATTGAAAGATTTTTTATATGTAGGACACTCACATTTCAAAAGTTATTATCATTTAAACCATATCGATATGATGCATAGCTTGGTTTTTTTAGAAAAATAATTGCGTGTATGCTTCTCATAAATCATAATATCCCATGTTATCATTTGTTTCATATTATAAAATATAGCAGCACGTTTTTCATATTATCAGTTGAAACAATTGCCATTCAATTATAACCATCTCACAAATTTACGAGGATTACACCACCACCACCACCACCACTAAATGCTTTAATGGATTCCAAAGCACATGATGGAAGTGAAGTTTATTAACAAAAAAAGTGATCAATTGGATGAGGCGAATAATGAAAATAAGATTACTAATACTTATCAAAAGTCGTACTGCAAAATCATTCTAATTGAGGAGGTATACGCAAAAAAAAAGAAATACAACAAGAACAACTGTATTTGAATGTTTATGTGCATTATGTTACGTTAGTCTTATTACATTATGTATGGTTTATATATCGATATCAGAAGTAAAAGCAATAATTAAAGGAAATTACAATAGTTTCAATGCATTTATGTTCGTTTGAAAAAGGCATACGTAATCAGTAAACGATCTTGCAAGCTTTGTAGTGAGTTAGGTCACTAACGCTAAGGTTTGTGAAAAGCAGAACATAGAATACGTATACATGTATTTTACGTATAATAAACTGTTGATTTGTAGGTGCAAGTACACCAGTGGTGCATCACACCACCATTGGTGTGTGATGCAATACATGTACTTTGCATACGTATATATATAACCTAACGCTAATGGTTTTGTAGCAATGTACATGTAATATGCAAATTCGTTTTTATTGCATTTATCCTAGAAATATGGAAATACTCAAAAATTAAAATATTTTGGAGGTAGGGTCTGCGTTTTCTATTTTCATAGCTATAGTATTTATTGTTCGACGAATAACGACAGTGCATTTCCTTGAACACAAATTTAATTTGCACGATACACAACAATTACATGCATTTTTTTCCTAACGTTAACTATTTTTAGCTTATTCATATGAAAAAGTTACCATTATTCAAATCAAAAAATGACAGGTATCTATGAGTTAGACAAAAAATGGTCCAAGAGAATAAAAAATTTGATTTAATATTTCTTCCCTAGCTTCCCTGGCAGGAAACGAAGACTACAAGGACTCACTAGAAGATGTAGTACTTAGAGTCCACGATTTCGACAACTCGGTCAAATCGATTCATTGTCAAGAAATAATACCGGAAAATCCATATATAAAAGCAACGAAAGAAATGTCAGCAAAAATTGCATGGACATTTTCGATTATTGTGTCCTCGTATGTTGTCGCGGCGTCGTTTTATTTGCTGATTCATTATTGGAGTAAAGTTCCGGTAGTATTTTTTTTTTTGCTATGCTCATTTTAATGGGATTGAATACTGAATTTTACTTTTTATAAATAGATTGTCTCGAGAGTTTTTGTTGTAATTTATTTGGTGCTTGATTTTTTGACACGGTCGATTTTTACGGTGTTAGTGTTTGAAGAGGTGCTAGATTGTGATCTGGATGAATTGTTTATTGCTATTCCAGCATTAATTGCTACCGCTTTTGGTATTTCTTTCTATCCATATTTTTATTTTATTCATTAAGTTTGACATTAGCTCAATAAATGAAATAAAATTTGTATTGAAATCAGGAAAAGAAGATTTCTTATTTCACCTAGTGTCAGACATTGATGAATTAAATGCAGACGCATTCGACGTTTACACAATGCTTACCACGATGCTACTGATTCCTTTTCTGGCTTTGATTCTTCGAGATCCTGTGTGCATCGAAGATACTTTGTTACGGTGGTTAACTACTGGGTTGATAGCTGGCGCTTGTTTTGTAGTAGCAAAGTGTGTAGTATTGTTTCTTTTTTGTAAGTTATTTTTTTTGTAAGTTATTTCTTTGTAAGTTATTTTTTTTTTGAGATTATAAATTGTACTTGAAGATGTGATATTTTTTGTAGTTGATTGAATTTATTATTTATAAGTCAAAAAAATTTATATTGCATAATCAATTACATGTACGTAATGAATTGCCAAATTGAGTGATGAATTTAAATACAGTAACGGTAATTCTTACGAGATTCAAAAATATTTAATATTAAATATTTCACTTACCGTAACGGTAATCCCCACGCAACATTCAACGTTGGGATTTAAATAATGTAAATTCACATTTTGTAGATTGATACATGTACGTTAGAAAGTATTCAATGTCAAAAATATGAATATTTTTCTTGAGCTTTTTCGTTTGATTCATTTTAAGGATTTAACTTTTTTCCAAGAGACTTTCTCCATAACGATTTATTATACATGTATTAATTTAGAATAAACATTTGAATACAATTTAAATCAATTAGTAGATTATAATGAAATTGGAACGATACAATAATTAAATTAGATTTGATTTCCACCGGCGCTTACGCCTTGAATATTGTCAAAAACAGGAGCACCGTCAATTTTGAATTCGCTATTAGTAAAAGACACTCCAAATTCTTGATTGACCGGGAATAAAATTGTTGTTTTTCACGTTGAATAATATGTTTAATGTGAATATGTTAACGTAATAATTGTTTCCGTAAAATGTATTTATCTTTTATATGGATGATGATATTGAAGACATGTAAAAGTATTGATTCAAAAACAAAGCGCATACCATCCATCCTTGGCATAAAAGTTCAACAACAATAATTACGTATTAATAAAACACAAACCTTATTTCATCCTTGGCATAAAAGTTCAACAATATTTTTCGATTTTTTTTTTGGAAAAAAAGAAATGACATTAACGTTAACGTACATGTTGAATGCATGCGCGCATTTGTAAAACATGTTCGTATATATACGTATATACGTACATGTATACGTATACGTACACATGTATATGCATGCAAAACGTTCACGATAAGATATGTAAAAAATAAAAATAAATTTTATACATGAAAATGAAATTACAATATTTCTTTTTCCAAAATATTAATATTTACGTATGTTTTTGATGTTTCCTAGATACATGTACATGTAATACGTATAATGATAACGTCAAATGAGTGCGTAATTTGGATTTCCATTATAATTGATGTAATTATTGTAGCATATGACTAAAAATTGTACTTGTTGACTTCAAACGACGTTTTCGGGTTGGAGAAGGATGAAGATATCGGTGAATTATAATTTGTTCTTCTATCATTGTTCTAACGCCAATGTTTTTTTTTTGATGCTAACAAATTAAAAAATTATTATTTTTTTATCCCTTTAATGTGATTCTATAACGATAACGCATATATTTTGCTTTTAATTGTATAATAATTTTTTAACGCAACTTTGCATTTATATTTTCTCCCGATCCCACCTTTTGTCAAGGATGTAATGCTTTATAATTGATCCAAAACCTCTTTTTGCAAGATACGTATTCTACTGATTTTCTCACATTCTTTTAATAGACAGTTTATGATATTCAAATGACAACGAGTACATTTACTACACTTATTGTAGTAATCCCGTACCCGATAAAAAACGCATTCACTACAATGATGAGATTCGAAATTTTAGCATTCAAAGAGCATTTATGTAAAACTGCAATAAATTACTACCGATAACGATAATAAACGAAACTACTGTATGTAATTGAATAAAATAAAAATATATGCGTGAACTCAAAGAAGTTAGAAACCAACTCGAACACAGTTAATATCGATATCGATCCCATGATTACCGTCAGGATTTCTAATGTTTAGACTCTTAAATTAAATTAAATAGACGACAAAGGATATTCTAAAGAGCCGTAGAACTGATAATGCAAAGTATTCAGTTCATCGTTTAATGATAACAAATATGTATGATAAACTCCCAAAGTTCCAAAGCAGTTGGTCTGTTTTCAGGAATAGATTCCAACATTTTTCAATAATAAAATTTAATAATTTAGGAATATTATTTGGTATCGTAGGTCGTATTCCATTATATATGTCTAACACAAGATTGTTATCATGACTCCGCTCACCAAACGGTCGTTCTTCTGTGGCAATCTCATACGTTATCATCCCGAAACTATAAATATCTGCAGCTTTAGTATATGGCTTTCCATTTAGTACCTCTGGACTCATATAAGGAAGTACTCCGTAAATTTTTTGATTAAATTGTTCTATATTTGCTGGTTTAGTAAGTCCAAAATCAGCAATGTGAGCAGGATAGAAATTAATATATTTCCAGGGTGAAAGTCACGATGCACAAATTCTTTATTGTGAATTATAGACAACCATCGAGCAATACTCATCAAATATTCGAATTTTTCTTTCCAATCCAAACAATCGAATTCATATACATGTTCATGTATTTGTGTAGATCGCCATTTTTTGTATAATCCATCACTACCGAATATTCATTTGTAGCTGGGGTTTTAGTTATCGATATTGTTTATCAGTAGGTTTGTATATATCGATATCGATATAGACTTCCGAGTTTTGTTGATCAATTGTTGTGTTTTCTATTAATTCAGAATTATTAACAGCGAAAATTCGATGAGCTTTATTCAAATGGTTTCCAATATTAGTTGTTGAGCAGGAAGATTTAAAACGATTTCCACAAATAGTTTTGTTCTACCATGACTTGACAATATCTATATCCATTATTAATTATTTTATCGACATAATTCCATACCCAGCTTTCATTACGATTTGTTGGTTGTATATGTTTAATTGTCGATAATACATGAATAGAAGGTTGCTGTTCTGAATACGAAAATAAATTTAAAGATAATGAAGGAGATGGAAGTGATAAAGAAAGAGGTTCACGGGGAGAAGTGGATGCAGAACATGGATTTGAATAGATTAATTGTGATTGCGTTAATGTGTGTTTTGTACGTGAATGTGTAGCATTATTTGGATCATATATTATAAACCGTGTTTTTTCTTTCGTTAAATTAGTGTTTCTTTTTTTATTTCGTGACATTTGTATATAACAGTCAAATCTCTTTATAACGAAGTGATTGAATTTAATAGTAAATTATTTTTAAAAATCCGTTATAAAGAATTTATTAATTACTCGATAATAATGACAGATTTTTTATGTGAAGAAAAGAATTACTTATTATTATTTAATGATAATAATGATAAGATTCACCGTTGTTGATCTTGTTCGGTTAATACATACGACGTAGCGATAACAATGATTAACGATTATATCCCATAATTAGTAATTATTTCAACAAAGGAATAAAATACAGCCAAGCGACCAGGCCGTCTTTGGCCAGCCAGGTCGACCAGATCAGCCTGGCTGAAGTTGATTTGTATCACTAGATTTGGCAGTCATTCGTATATGAACATAGTTGCCAAATCTAGGGGATCGCTAAAGCAAGGCAAGCCGTTTAGCCATATACCAGCCACATTTGATCACCATAACGTGACTTATCACGTA